GAGTTCCTTGCTATGTTCGGTGTCAGCAAACGGGAGATTGTACCACATTGTCGATCCACTTTAATAACAAAAATATTGTAATTAGATCCTGTAGCACTTAACTAAATTGAATTCTTCGTTTTCAAAAGGCCGCGATTTAGACGTACAACGTTTGCCAAAAACTATCGCTCGCATGCAACATGCCTAATTTTGATTATTACAATAGCTACAACTGTCGTATAGATTAAAAACAATTGTTTGATAAGCCTACGACAGTTGTAGCTATAGATATAGATATAGTTGTAGATATAGATAGTTGTAGCCATGCTGTAATGATGACTTAGGCACGTTGTATGGGATAGTTTTGGGCAAAAAATGCACCGTCTAAATCGGCCTAAATACATCTTGGAGGAACTTCAACAAAAGATTTTTCACTAGTATCTATAGTTCATTCATCCAACATGGCCGTCGGGCTTTTGTCTTTTGAATCTCATGGGAATGATTGGAAACGATCAATAACACAAGGAACAACAACAACAACAACACACTGTACACTTAAAGCAATTAAATWTACTGTAAGATTTCTTTTCTTGGGAAAAGAACWTGGTTGTTCTGGTCGGTTCCTATCAYGTTCAAAGGGWTTTTKGCCAAACCASTGTGCTTTCCGCATCCCCATCTGCTAYTGTGAACTGCATTGTTGTCACAMCGTATGTARCCTCSAAGGTAGACGAGTTTGATGGCAGCAACCATTCCTTGTTTGGCATAGTTGTGGAATGARCCATACTTGTTATCCCTCGCGCTGAAGCACACTTCATGACCGTTCATTTTCACCCATTGATACGTACTGGTATCTCCTTTCACAACTAAAATAAATAGAAATRAAGGTTATAGTAAAGAAGGTTGATTATTTATAATTTAAATAACGTAATTGGTAACTTACCATGTCCATTTCGGAAAATCGCCAAACAAGCGACCGTTGCCAGTGGCGGATCCAGGATTTTTCAAAGGGAGGTTCCACTTTGTTTTCGCATTTTCCTAAAACGAACTTTTACTGTGCCTGTCGAACTGTAGTAAATGTAAAGACACCAACATCACATTTCATTTTTTTTTTTTTTATGCTCGAGGGGGGTTCCTAGGAACCCATGGAACCCCCCCTGGATCCGCCACTGGTTGCGAAAAGATTAACTTTACTAGTAAGAAACATGCTTACGATATCTGAAGTACTTATAATATGCAGATTCTCAGCTTTATATTTTAATATAACATGTATTTTTTTTCTTTTTAAAGAACACCTTAGTGAGGCCTAATTGTTTTCCTCGTTTAATTGTTTACATGGAATATTTTTGTTTATTTGTGTTGATGTTTAAACATGTAGTTTTTCTTGTTTTTTCCATATTCAGTTGTTTACATATTATAATAGCAACAACAACTTCATTTTTGATGGACGATATYAAGTTTAGATAAAGTCCACGTTTTAACTGAGGGAACTCCCTCTGTTGCTTGGCAGCAATGAAGATAAATTATAATGATGGATTGATTGATTGATTAATTGATTGATTGAATCTTATATTTATTAACACTATTTTTCAGGTACAGCCTCGCAGGTTTCTTAATCAACATAGTATTTTCATCTCTGTTTCTCGGGACCAAGATTCCCAATGTGAAGGTGATYTGGAAAGAGGCTGGTCCACAGCTTATGTATGGTATGCTCATCGCCTGGGGCCAGTGGCTTGTCGCTCTAGTCGTTACAGGAGCACTACTGGTAACGAAACAAGAATTGCAATACACAATAGACTTGACAACTGCACAACTTTTTTCATGTGAACGCAATCCACATTTATTTAGTTTTGAAATATTATGTAATCAAACTTTCTTATATTTCATATATACGCATATAGGGCATTTCTTTTCTTTTTTTGACCTTTCAATAAACTCGATTTGCCATRAAGCCTACATTTAACACTAGTTGTGGCATGTCCCGACATCTTTGCTCTGCGTTTAACAAAGAACTGTACTAAGTTTTTATTATTTTTCACGG